CCCCAAAACCCCAAACCCCAAAACCCCAAAACCCCTCTGAACATAATCATCGATAAATTGTGTATGATATTATAATTTGATTTGCAAAGTTAATAATTTGGTAAACTTTAAAATGAATAGCTCTGTATTTTGCACTTTCCTAATGATTGGAAGTGTCCTTTATTTTGTTTCCTCCTACTCCACTTCTTTTTTGGAGGAAATTTACTCAGTGTAGCCTATTATAATAACCACTAATAAACGAATAAAAGAAAAAGCGAAGCTGATAAACAACGAGGCGAAGAAATCTCCCTTGTTTCAATCGATGAAGACACGATATCATTAGATGTTTCCGGATGCCTAGTTGCTAGCCAATCTATCTAAGATTGAGTAAAACATGATTGATGCTGACATATCGCAATATACTGCTTTTAGAGTGGATAATAAGGGTTAAAGCATTCCTAGATTTGAGTAAGTAACTAATTCATTTGAAGTAATACGATTAATGTAGAGAAACAGAAAGCTATTGGAAGTATATGAGTCAAATTTATAGAAACAAGACATTTAATTCAATTTTTGAAATCAAAGATGAGAATCATCAGGAGTAATTCTATTTGCTAAATGCAAACAATGAAGTTATTAGCAATCTAACGTTCAATCCATACTTTGGGGAAATAACTTTAATGAGAACACTATAAAAGCCTTATTTTAAACTTAAAGAACAATCGATGCAGCAATATGCAAGAAAAGGCTCAAAGCAATAAGTTGAAGAGAAGCATTTTGATGGGAATACTGCAATATATGCCAATCCTAAGCAAATTCATACCTGCTTTCAGTCATATGTACCAGGTATAATCTTGTATGTGGCTATGAATCAATATTCTAAAGAGTAGTTTCTAGTGGTGTATAGAATATTAACCTTTGAAGGAGCCATTCATCGAATTAGAGTTTTTAACAATATTGATTGTAATAATGAAGGTCTATCATATGGCGATCTGAGAACCAACTAAGGTGAAATTGAACTGGACAAAACTTTGAAGTATGAAAATCATTATTCTTACGGAGATAGTACTGTGAAGCTAGGAACCAATTATGAAGACTTTAAGCTAGATGGCAACTTTTAAATTACAGCAATAAGTTATATGAATAAAGACACAATCACCTATTCAAGATTACTAGATTTCTATCAATATCGAGTACTGCAGAGATATGTTAATGAGAAAACAGGAGAAATAAACTGGAAAGAGACACAAAGAGGGCCTTTAATTGATAGAACCAAAGACAAGATATTTATTTGTACTGGCATTCACTAAATTGAAACTGGAATGAAAAATATTTCGACTTACGTTGTTGCATACCTTAAAGGAGAATCTTAATAGCAAGTGCAGATTAAGGTTGAACTTCAGCAACAAATAAATCAAAGTGATTAATATACTGAGGAAAATTCGAAAGAGCCCAATTGGCAAACTAAGACATAAATATACGATAGAAAATTCCCTATTTACTAGTCTCCTAATGTTTATAATCACGATCTAACTATTCATCTTAGTTAGTTTTCAGATAGGCATTAAAAAAATTAGATAATAACTATGTTTGGGTAGTATTTTCTAGCTTTAGACTGGGATCAAAAAGCTTAAAACATACTGGTATTTGATACATTTAAGGAACCCCTTAATGACTATATTGATCTAATGACTGTGTCCTCGGATAACACGAATTTATTCTTATATTCTTAGGATAGCAACATTCTCTATCAAATATTCCGTGAAAGAGGCTAGTCAGAGAAGGTAATGGAGGAATGGCTAGAGGTTAGATTGAACAATTTACCATCAGAATTAATGAACAAAAGAATTTTAAGTATATACTTAAAAAACTTACCTCAAACTAAAGAACGAATCATGATGATGCTATTTGAGGGAGGAATCCTTGGCAGCTTTAAAATTGAAGAGCTAAATGAAGATTTTTTATCAGCATTGGAGATTTTAGAGGATGAAACCTTTTTGGATATTGTTTTTCCACTAGTCGTGCTTATTAGTGCATCTATCGTGCTCTGTGTCAAGAGAAGAAGATAATCTTAACTTTTAAATCCTAATAATGGGGTAAATAATGCTTGGCCAATGCGCGGAGGGTTTCCAGTGCCAATCTCAAGAATCAATAGATAAAATGGAGTGATTAATCAGCAAAATATAAACAATAATATTGCTGGTGCCAATAATAACAACAATAATAACTTCAACTAATAGGACATAGTCGGCGGAATACCATTTAATCAGTTAGCTGGTTAGTAAGATTAAGATTAGATACATGAATAATAACCTGCATAAAATGTTCCTATACCAGTTAGAATAGAAAATTTGAATCCCTTAAATGGGGATATGCTGGAGCCATAAGCAGAAGATCTGCTTGATGAAAACATTAACAATCTTAATAGACTTATTTAGGAATTAGACGCAGACAATAATTAGAGCCAAATGAGGTTAGACCAGGAATTATTAGATGATATGGATGATTAAGACATAGATGTTGACGATAATTAAAACTAGCAAATCAATTAAATGCAGTAAAGATTAGATTTTATGGATTAGCTAGTAGATGATGACGATGCAAACCAGTGAAGGATTAATTACATTGATATATCCCACCTCTGATTATTATAGAATTTCGAAATGTGTCGATGAACTTTATCTTTGTGGTTTTATAGTTAGGTTTGATTTAAATGTTTAGAATATACCGTTTTTAACAACTTTTAATTAATAAAAGCATTTGTTTTTTCTAGAATAAATAAGAAACAATATAGATAGTAAGAATCTTTTCAAATTATAAGTCCTTTTTCTATTAATTTGAATTAAAAGATGTCTGAATCAGTAGAATAGCATATCTTCATGGCTCGTGTTGCCGAGCAATCAGAAAGATTTAGAGATATGGTTGATTTCCTCAAGCCAGTCATCAAGGAGAAGGGAGCTGCACTCTCCACTGATGAGAGAAACCTCCTCTCTGTAGCCTTCAAGAACCTTGTTTCTCAACAACGTACAGCCATCAGAACCATCACTGCCATCGAGTAAAACTAGAAGTATGCCAAGTTCGCCAACGGCATGGCTGACTACAAGAAAAGAATTGAAGAGGAGCTCTACAGAAACTGTGATGAGATTATCAACTCAATCAAGAATGAGGTGTTAGTTAAAGCTTCAGATGATGAGTCAAGAGCTTTCTTCTTAAAGATGATCGGAGATTACTGCCGCTACATCGCTGAATCAGCCAAGGGAGAGCGCCTCGAGGCTACCAAGACTCAAGCTTTGACCAGCTACTAGGAGGCAAGTGGACTTGCCGAGAAGAGTTTGGGTGCATGCAACTCAATCAGATTAGGATTAGCTCTTAACTTCTCTGTATTCCACTATGAAGTGATGCAAGATGTCAAGAAAGCCTGCGAGTTAGGAGACAAGGCACTCTAGGATGCCCTCGACAAACTCGACGACTGTGACGAGGAAACCTTCAGAGACGCACAATCCATCATCGAACTCCTCAGAGAGAATTTAGCACTCTGGAAGGAAGAGGAAGACGGTGCAGGAGATCAATGACCGGTCCAGAAGTCCTTTCTTCTTTGATAGATACTAAGTTAGTGAAGCTCAATTGAGATTAAAATTATAAAGTTTGTTCATTAATCTCTTAGTCATAAATAAGAGTGTTCTCTCTATATTCCTTATAAACCATAACTAATACTATAAATGTCCCTTCTATAAATTCCTCTAACCTATTCACTGTTATTTATTTCGGATTAATTCATATAATTGTTGTAAAGTAACATTATTTTGGATTCAAATATCAAGGTAACCTAATGAATATTCTAAAATCACTTGCTATTTATATTCCTTATGAATTTTCTTCTCTTCTTTAAGACTCTTGAATTTTGAATCATGGGGTTTTGGGGTTTTGGGG